CATATCTTGCATGCATTTATATTTGCTTTTAATTTCATAGACGTTTCAGCTGGAAGGGGCCTTGGAACCATCTAGTTTACTTACTTTATGGAAGTCGAAACTGGGAAAGGAGATTCTAACCTGTTTACTCTTCCTACTGCAGCTAACAACAGGTTACAGGGAAAAGCACTACAGTAAGCTATGTCCTAAGAAAAACTCCTCTAGTAATACCATTTTGCAAGGAATAAGACATGCATATGTGTGTGTGTGTGTGTGTGTGTGTGTGTTAAAAAATAATCGGAAACACTGACTGCCTTTGATACTTTGTAACTTTAAAAAAATTACATAGTTGAGTTTTGCAGTCATTCCTCAAAGTTTTCTTTCTCTGTGAAGGTTTACTCACAGCAGCTTGCCGGCAAGACAGAAAGGAAAGAAAGAAGGAGGGAAGGGAAGGGAAGAAAGGAGGCAGGGAGAAAGGACAGGCTAAGGTAATACATTATTCTCACTCATAAATGTGCTCCACGCATACAGTCTGTTAAAACGCCAGAAAACGGCAGGAGAAAGAAATCAAGAGGTGACTATGATTTTCAATTAACTTTACAGCCAATCGAAGCCAAGAAAAAGTTCTGAAGTTCATCAGATTTAAAAGCCCCTTAAAAATCAACAGGTGCCATTAGTAAGTCGTCAACAACCACCTTTTGTTTTTCTGTCATTCACCTGGACTTAATTAAAAGTAGAGGAAACCGAGGGCTCTGTTTTTTTCCTTTTCTTCTAAAAGAGATGATAGTTGTTTAACGTTCTAATACGATGCTAAAATACACTTTAGTAAACAAAGAAAGGATCTTGCAAGTTAGCACTAGAACAAACTTAAAATAGTTTGCCGAATTGATCTTGCTCAGAACAATTTTAATCCCCTATGATGGCTTATGATGGATGAGAATGAACTAGGAGTTACTTGCATACGTGCAGGAAACCACGGCGACGAAATCTCCCTACAGTTTTCAGGTATTCAACGTTTGCTAGTAAGCAGAACCAGGTTGTTGACAGTAAAAAAAAATCTTTTTGAAGAGCTTTCTGAAATCCCATTCACCGTGATAAGACATGTTCCTTCCTGGCATCCTTGTCTGTCCTTAAGGACCTACGCAGGTTCAATAAGGGATAGGTTTTCATTTCAGACACGAAAATACTGACGAACATATGAGTAGAGGCAAAGAAACGAAAACATACACAGTTTTTGCCTACAAATGTCAGTTTGTCACATCGGAGAGACTCTAGGCAAGACATCAACTTTCTTCCAAACGTTAGTGAAAGAAAGGAAGAAAGGAGCTTTAGCAAATGGTCATAATGACATCATGCGTAAGGAAACACGACTGTTAAAGCAATTATGACATCACCCACATGTGTAGGCCTGCATGTCTGTGGTCATAAAACCTTCAGCGATCACATTTCTGCTTTTAAAAGAAACCCCTTCAGAAACGCTCCTCAAACAACTGCTAAGCCAACAGCGGTCTAGATCCACTGATTTTCCATTTCCTTTTACGTAAAGGGAGACCATGGAGGGAGCACCAGCAGCCATACTGTACCCCTAGTTACAGAGCTCCATGTTTGTTTCCCAATCACGTCTGCAAGTAAACAGGTAAATCGGTGCAATTTTCAACAGTGGACCAGGAAATAGAGGCTTTCTCATTCACACGCGGCAGTGGCCCCATTAATTTGAGAGGCGCTTTCCGAGTTCGATGTCATTCAACACGTATCTATTGTGCCTAGGATTAGGCAGACTTTTGTTCCCTTTCTCCCTTTGCTTTCTGTGGTAGGAGTCAAATACAGCATGTGAAGTAGTCACTTTTCTTATTTATAACAAGTTTTAGGGACAAAGCACCCTACTGGGGAGAATGTTAAAACTATCAACTGTAACACAGGCTCTCATTCAATTCTTCACATCGGGTTGTTACTTTAAAAAAAAAAAAGAGAGAGACCAAATGACCATTTTGACTTTTAAATGTAAAATGTGTCACCTCTCGGGCATTTTACTTTTGACATTGTAAGTTTCCTCATGGTCATTTAGAAAAATAAAGCGGGAAATGCTAACCCCTTAGCATGTGCTGTAAGCAGACCTTCACATTTATAAGAGGACAAGCAACGGCAGGCTTGCTGCAGGGCTGCGAGCCCACACGTACCTTCTCATTCTTTTTCGTTTGCCTGGAGCCTGGGCAAAAATCTTGTTCTTTGAGGTCCAGCTAAGTGTTCTCTTTTTTGAGAAACTGGCTCCATCACAGAGACAGAATTAGCCTTTTTTCTGGGCTCCCACTGAAATCCCTAATCACATCTATTACACGAAGTTGCTTTACAGTGAGCAGTTCATGATTCATGAGTCTCTCTCCCTCCTCAGCTCTTCACAAATGTTATCTTGTCCCTTTAGTATTTCCAGAACTCAGCACCAGGACAGTGTGGTGTGACTCAGCTGGAGGGCTCGTGAGCCCCACACCCACTTGTCTTATTTAAGGACTTGGCTTGGGGGTCCCAGAAGGTGCATGTCTACCTATCAAGTTCAAGGTGCTCCTGCTGCCATCTTGGGAAACACACTGTTGAGCGAGTTACTGTTGTACACTTCTCATGAATTCATGAAGAAAAAAAATGCAAATTTGAGGCCGATTTACTAATGAAACATAAACTGTTCCTGGATCTTGATGAAGCTCATGCGATGAGTAAGAAATGGGTGTCGGAACTAAGACAGAATTTCTTCTCCTCCACAAGCTGCAATACCACTCACTCCACTCAGCAGAAGCGCCCAAGGAGTTTTAAACAACGTGTGTGAGGCTCCATCCCCCAGAAGTTTTGATCCCCCTGGTCTGGGGAGCAGCAAGGCATCCTGTTTTCAAAAGCACTTCGGGTGATTCTAAGGTATGTTCAAGGTTCAAAAGCTACTGCTCAAAAAAAAGAAAAGAAAAGAAAAGAAAAGAAAAAAGTCACTTCCTAGCCTTTTTGGGTCAGCTATTCATGTACAAAACCAAGTAATCGGGCGCTGTGGAAAATAAGAAATGAGGGAATCCCTGTCTGAGGATTTGCAGCAATATACAACATGATTCCCAATACACTGATATGCCCGGTATATTATTGATCGGTTCTGATAACTGCAACCACAGCCGCCTCGTCCAGAAAGCAGCTGAGAATCCAAAACCCCGCCTGGATCAATATGGATGGTGACAGTGAGCATGTGACAGGCTGGGGGCAGCTCTTTCTATGGCCAAATATGCAACTGAAATATCTAAGAAGAACAATTCAAGGCCACGCTGCTGCCTTGAGCTCCGGACCTGTATGTTCTACTGCGTCCTGGGCTTTTCCATCTGAGCACGTCGAATCCCCCAAACATTCACAACCTCCATGAATGGACTCAGTGTTTATAGGGGCTTCCAAGTCAGAAGCCTACGTCTCATCCTGGGGTTCTCTGTTCCTTAGACTTGTCACCTCCAAATCAGCCTGAGCCATTCACCTGCTCTGCATCTGCAGTGCTCCTGCTTCGTTGTCTCTCCACGACTGCCTCTGCCAGTCAGTCTCCACAAGGCTGCTGGAATCATCTTTCTAGAACATCAGACGCCAGTTCCCAGCTTAAAGCTCCACAGCAAGCCTCCGTTCACACAGGGGGACAGCGAAGCCCCCTGGCAGCTGCAGCCTCACCACCTACCCCTGCTCTTCCCACCGCACCGAATTCCCAGAGCTCTTCAGAACTGTGCTACTGCCGGCAGCTCTGGAACACCCTTCACGTCGCCTTCTGGGAAAAGCCCACGGCTCCTTGCAGGCTCAAATGAGTAGTCCCTTCCAGCTGGGGCTACACCTGGTCCCCTCTCCAGATAGAGTTAAAAGCAAAGACTACACCAGGAGATTCCTTCATCCTGTACAGAATTCTAGCACTGCTGCTGTGACATTTTCACACGTGTTATCTATAGATCTCTCGTCCCCTAATTGACTTCCAGGCACTTGAGGGCAAGTATCCTGTCTGTCTCATTCCTACCGCTCAAAATATGGATGGAGCAGTGCAAATTGCTCACTGTGGTTTGAACACAAAGGAAAAAAATGCCAACAAAAGCCTAAATTGTAACAGGTAGCAATACTTGTCCCTATACTATTGATAGAAGGACAGACAATAGTGGTAACGTATGTCATTATTTACACTAAATCAAGGCCATGTGTGCTCGCCCAGTAGTAACAGGGTGCAACTGTGGGTGTATTTTGTAGTGTTCAGGTATTTTCCTCTAACCATAAGTCCCATAAATTGCAACTAAAGACTCATTAATTAGAAGTTCCAGATATATTCAGAAGATACTTTGACTCCAGGTCTTTCTGGGAGAACCCACAAGGATAGGGTACAATGTGGAGCCAAGGAGCAAATTCTATCCTCCCCCCGCCACCCCGCTATGTTTTACATACTACTTTCTTAAGCAAGCTGCTGAAATTTGGTAGGAATAAAATTTATTTTAAGTATATGCAGTCCACAGATGCTCAGGCAACAGGGTCAGGCATCTGATACCACACTTCAGTGCTGTCAGAGATTAAAGTGTCAAATCCAGCACTTAGCTTCTAACTGGGCTAAGTAAACAAGCCACCAGTGCTCAGGGGCCCAACCACCTCTCCTGCTCAGGGAACTTTCTAGACAACTGGATGGAGTGCGTCTATGTAACCGTAGGAAGGAAGCTGTAACCTAGTGGCTCTGAAAAAGTTAAAAGAGAACAAGCTGAGATTTATACTCTATTCCACTGGTGTTGACGATTGAAGAATACACCAGTCACAGTTAACTGAGACCAAAAGTGTTCCTTATCATCATTTCAAATGTCCATCAGCGACAGAAGAAAACAAAATAGAACTTGTTCAGCATAGATTTGAGAAGCAGAACCTACTGGGTTGTCAGAAAAGTCATGACGTGTTTTTTTTCTGTTTTTCGTTGCAAAAATGCGTCATGACTTTTCTGACAACCCAATAGTTTTCAAACTATATTTACGTGGAAACAAGGCATGGGTAAGCCAGATTCTAGAACCTTGGCCTTTTCTCAAAACATACTTCTATAAGTAAAATCTAACTTTAAACAAGCCCATTTCCACAGTACTAAGTCCAAATTAGAACATGACCACAAACACACAAACACAACTTTCACAGCAAGCCACAAAGCAAGGGCCAAATGATCTCTCAGGTGGGTCCTTCAACAAGCTTAGGGTCCCCAGCATTCTGATTCCATCTCCATTTCAGGGCCTGGGGCACCAGTGTGGGGCAATGTTCCCTGAAACACCCATCACCGTCAATGTAATAGTAGAGCTGGCTTGCCGCTCCTGCCAAAAAGTTTCAGACACTAGCTGCTGGTCCTGGAGCATAGATCAAAGGAAAAACAAACCGTATTTTCTTTTTAAACAGGGTGAAACCCTTCATCTTTACTGACAGTACCTCTAAAAACATTTCAAAACACGTTAGGGCTGTCATGTGGACCAAGTCTAATTAATGTAGCACCATGGATTTTGGCAGTCGGCGTCTTCAAACTTCAGAATCAGGTTTGAAACATCATGGGCTATGAAACGAAAGACGTGAGGCCAGAAATGACCATCCAACTTCAAGAATGTGTTCAGAGGTGGGGCAGGGAGGCTCCCTGGGCTGGGAACTCCGGCCTCCTTGGAACACACACCAGATTTCCTCTAGAACAGTTTTTGTATCTTTCCATTTTGCAAGAACAAGGGGCTTGCTCAACATTCCTCCTGCAATCTCCAAGCTCGCTGCTGGCGTGGTGGCTGAGCTGCCTCCAGGAAAGGCAGCCAGCGAGGCTACGGAGCAACTGTGCGCAGGGGTCTGGACTACTCAGACCAGGCAGCAGTTTGTTCCAAGTTCCTGAGAAGCCCAGTCCCTGGTCCTTCCCCGCCCCCGCCCAGCACCTGACATTAGATGCTCACACACACGTGAGCAGCTTCTCCTGTTACCAGAACTCAGGTCAGGCAGTGGAGGTGGCGGGCTCCGGGCAAGAAGGCCGAAGTTTAAATCCCAGTTCTGCCTCTTACAAGCTGTGCCAAAGTCACTTTACTTCTCTGTACCTCAGTTTCCCCCTCATATGCTTGATGGAATGGTCAAAAGGATTGACAGGACACTGGCAGCCATGTCTAACAGCAAGCATGAGGTGCGGTAAGAACAGGACGCACCACGCCTCAGAACCCAACAAATCGCTCTTAAATGGGCACATTTTCCTGAACAAAACTGACTGAATTTGATTGATATGGGCCTTGAACACTTTTGGTAAAAAGAAAAAAAAATCTCGTATTTCTAATAACGTCCCCCTTAAATTTTGGTCTTTTATGCGACTTTCCCTGAATGACGTTTGTTCACCTACTCTCACCATTTTCTTTTTCAGGAGCGTCTGCTTTAAGGACGAACAGGCACGTGAAGTGGTATTTAGATTTTTCTCGGAAACTAATCTCTACACACTAATCGTGGTGTTCAAAGGGGTAAGAGTGACAAGCTGGAGGCATTTCTGGGGGGGAAATGATGCTTGCGGGGCTCCAACAGTTTAATTTAAAGGATAGGCGTCCCCTGCAGCAAAAATAAAGAGATTGCACCTGCCTGAGAGGCCACAGTGGTCAGCTGACTGGGCAGCAGGACCAAAGCCAGGGGCTCACAGCGGGGAGGAGAGGGGCGACCGACTCAGGAGGAAAAGCTTTCAGTGAAAAGACGAATCCACTATTACTGAAATCACTTCCATCTCCTCTTACAGTATTTTGCAAGACTGTTAAAACCCGCGATGTTCCCGAAGAGCGCTTTACGTTCGTTGCCAGGTAATCTTTCCGGAGTCTTGGCCAAGCTCCCCTCAGTGCCGGTGATATCCGACCCCTGGCGGCCCAAACAGAGTCACCTGAGGAGCCAGGTCTCACCCCAAGCCCTGGAAATCGGAAAGTCTGGGGGTGGGAGCCAGACGTCGTTTTTGTTTGTTCGTTCGTTTGCTCGTTTGGGGTTCCGTTTGGTTGTAAATCCAAGTGATTCTAATTTGCACCAAAGTTGGGGAGCCAGGGCTTGCCGCCCTAACGCTCCCCCACCCGGCGGACGCGCTCAGCACCGAACCCCACTCCCTGCGCCAGTGACATCAGCGGCAAGTACAGACCTGACTCTTGGAACCCCGGCTGCTCGGTTTTGAAATTGTGCAATTAAACCTTCTGAGACATGTTTCTCGTGTCAAGTGGGTTTATGGTCGGTAGTCACGAAGCCAGGCTCGCTCACGGTCGCTCCGGACACTTGGCACAAGTGAACCACGGACACCAATCCGGTGTTTCTTTCCTTTTCTTTTCTTTTTAATTAAGTTTAACATTTTGATTGGCCCAATGTCAAATTCTTCAAAAAGCTTTAAAAAAAAAAAAAACACGTCCCAAAGGGAGAATCTCGGGATTCTGACGCGGAAAGTTGGCTGTGGGCCCTGTTTGGGAAACCTGTGGGGCCCTGGCCCGAAGAAGTTGGGCGCCAGGACCCAGGTGTCCGGCTGCAGCCGGTCGCCCCGCTCTGTCCGGCTCCACCCCGAAGCCTACAGACTTGACCAACGGGCTGCAGGTGGGGGGCAAACCTCGGGAGTTCCCGGGAGGGCCCACTTCATGAGACCCCACGGGCCCACGGGGCGCGGACGATCGGCAGGGAGCTCGGGGCTGGTAGGGGGGCCGCGCGGGGCAAGCACCCCCCCCCTTTTTTTTTGCCTAAGAAGACACGAAGTCCCTCGCGGCAGCTACAGGTAGTTAGTGACAGAGACGGAGCTCTCCGGGCCTCCCATTTCGAGGTGCGGCTCCACGGCCGGGAAAGGACCTGCGAACTGGGCTGGGGCCAGAGCGCCGGCTTCCGCGGGAGACGCGGGTGCCGGGAGGCCCGGGAGGGATTCCCGCGTCCTGGGCTTCCCGGAGCCCCTCGGGGGCGCGCCCCGCGGGCCTGACCCCGCGAGCGGACAGCGCGGGCGCACGTGCGGGGACCCGGGCGGCCCGCCGGCCCCGCCACTTGCGCTGCGGGGCGCCGAGCCCGCGCCGGAGGGCGGGCAAGTGTCGGGGGGAAGTTGCGAGCGCTCCGGGAGCGCCCCGCACGCCGCCCGCAGCCCCGCGCCCGGAGCCTCCCCTCCTCGGGCCGCCGCAGACGCGCCCGGCTCGGAAACGAAACGTCCCGTTCCTCCCACGGTCCCGGCCCGAAGCGCCGCCGATCGCCAAGGAAGCGGGAAAGGGGGGCCGGCGGCGGGCCGGGGGCGCGGCACGCCCTTACCTCGCTTCTCCTCCCGCGCCCGGCTCCCGGGGAGGTGCGCGGCCAGCAGCACCAGGAGCGCGGCCGCCAGCGGCCCCGAGGGTCGCATCGCTGCCCCGGGCGCTCGCTCCGCGTCTCCGTAACTAGTCCGAGGCGAGCCGGGCGGCGCTGCGCGGCGGCGGCGGCTCCGGGGTGGCCTGTCGTCCGGCTGGAGGGCGGCGGCCGCCGGCGCTGCTCGGGACTCGCCGGGAACCCTGGCAGCGCGGGCCGCGGGCGTGCACACCGCGCCGGGCGGGGAGGAGGAGGGACCAAGCGCAGGAGGAGGGAGCCGAGCCGCAGCGCGCGAGGCGGAGGCAGGACTCGCCGGCCGCCAGGACCGCGGGCTCGGAGGGGGCCGACGGCCGTGGCCCCGGGGGCACCAGCGCCCGCGTGAGGGCCCCGAGCGGCGCGGGGGCAGCGGGTGTTCCCGGGAGTTCATCTCCGAGAGGCGAGCTCCCAGCGCTGTTCGTCAGGACCCAGCGCTCGCGGACTGGCGCTGCTCGCTCGGTGACCCAGCCTGTGTCGAGTCACATTTGTGCCACTGTCGCCGTTTCCCCCCATCATCCCTTCAACTTGCAGAGCAAACTTGTACCGGCTGCGGTGACCTGGCTGAGTCTTATGCCCAAGGCTGGATAATGGCATGGGGTGGGGGTGAGGGGGAACCACCCCTTTATTCTCGCCCAAGTCCCCCGCAGCGCCTGGCGACCCTAGTGGGGGCCGAGGCGGCCTGGCAGCCAGGTGGTTCCTCGCTGCACCCGCCTAACAGGCGTGCCAGGCGGCTGAGTCAGAGCTCTCAAGTCGGAGGGTCCTTCACAGCCGGTCAAGCACCCTCAAAATCGTCTGAAACGAGGGCACCCATCTCCTGGCACAGAGGCGGACCTTGGGAAATGTCGGCTGAGCGAATGCGTGAATACCAAGGGATCCCACAGCTTTCCTAGGCCAGGAGCCAGCCAGGGGCACTTGACAAGCAAATATGCGCGGTAAATTACTTTGCAAAAGGCAGGCGCTTGGAAGAAAGGCTAGATACACACACTAGAGGAGATGCTTTTATGGAAAAGCGAGGTGCCCAGTGCCCTGAGACAGCCACGCGTGACTCAAGCAGGAGCAGCACCCGGGAAATTGGCTAAGGATTTGGGCAGAAGAAATTAGGCTTTCTCAGCTGCAGAAACTTAGCTAACGTCTTTCAGCCAAGTCGCTCCTTCACTACAGGACAAATGTCCTCGGGGCCCCATTCTACAGCCAGAGCCTCTCAATTCCTCATAAGATCCACTGCTGACATCAGGTGGGGTCGGCTCTGGTCAGGAGTCACAAAATTGAAATAAGTGAAGTTACAGCCCGATCTTTGGTGTCACTAGAGAAAGAGGGCCATCTCTCGTTCCCATCCAGCAAGTGTTGGGGACAGGGTCCCTCGCCCCGCACAGCCGGGAGCGTGTACTCTGAATTTAAGTCATTTGTGTTTGTCCCTTTGTTTGAGCACATCAGGACGACCCCTGAGTCCCCTGAAGCCCATTCGCCCCTGGATGAAGACGGCTCTGAAGATTGTGCAGGCGGTGTGCTTGGCTTCCCCCACGTGATCCAAACAAGGTTACATGCAACAAAGCAGCCTGTGAAGAAACACAGCTACAGAAGTAACACACATCAGAGAAGGGTAACCCAGAAACACAGCAGGGGGACATAGCACGAAGCTAGGGGTGAGTCTTATCATGGATTCCATGCATTTGCCCAACAAGGCCGCAAATCTGGCCCCACAGCCTTCTGTCAAGGAAATCCCATGGGTGACACAAACCACATTGTCCGTGTGTTACAACCCCAGTCAATTGAAGCTACAGCTAATTTTTAAGATTGCGTAGGAATTTCACCTATGAGTCCCCTAGGAGAAGACGCTGTGGGAAGCCCTAAGGTTCTCAGTAACCACCCTTTCATAACAGACAGCAACAACCTTCGCAGCGCTGTTGGTATCATCACATCCTTCCATAGGTCTGATGCCACCCCAGGAAGCAGAGCTGTGTGAAAACTATCACTGGAGGAGGTGGAGCATCGATCGCTTCAGACACAGACCCACCTTGGCCGGATCCATCCTCCTGGGACACCTTTGTAAGGCTTGGATTTCTCCTTTGAGCTGGTGACGAAAGGGGTGACATTCAGGATGACTGGTACTCTTTGGCAGGTCACGGAGTATACGGATAACTGTGGTGCTTGTTAGGTACAAAACTCTGTGATCAAGCTGGAGGAAATGACATCTTGAGCACATGGAGCTTTGCCCAGACTGGGCTCTGCATAGATGCTGTTCGGGAACGCAGTCTCTCTCTGCAGAGTGATCCCGGGTCACATCCTGGGCACTGGCACCACCTCAGGAACAGTTGGAGCAGCCTGACTCCATGCCACTAAGTACTGACCACCTATGAGCTGGGTTACACTTTCGTCTGCCTCTTAGAGCAAGATGAAGCCATGGATTGGAACGGTCACCCACGTAACCTGCCAAGGGTTGCCAGACCGTGCTTGCTAGTCACAAGGCCAGCCTTGAACCCAAATCCCAGCCATGTTCTTTACCCCTCATCCCCAAAACGTTTCCAAGCCTGAGACAAACAGAGACTTCAGGACCCCAAATTCGATTTCAGAATATCTGGAAACTTTCTAGAGAAGGTACAACCAAAATTTCTGCTTGGCCAAATGGTTCCTGAATAAAGCATCCAAGGAACCATTTTAACCAGGACATACTTGAGGCTCTTGTATTTCCAATAGTAAATCTCATATCCTCAATTTTCCTAACATGCGCTGTCCATTCTCTATAAGTAGGAGTTAGAGCCTTTCTAGAAGGAGCATGGGGGTGAGTCCCCCAAAGATGAGGAGTACAGAACCCTGTGACAGGGTGAAGACAGCAGGCCTTCAAATGCCTTAAGTTCTATCTTAGGCGAAAGGCATTTGACCACCTGTTTTCTTTGGCCTTTGAGGTCAAAGCAAGAATTGATGAGGAAACACATCAAAGTGGTAGATTTCCGAGTTGGAAAAATGATCTTTCATGCAGTAGTAGAGCTGTCTAAAAGTGGATGAGCTGCCTCCGAGTGGAATGGGCTTCTCCATCCTTAGAAAGACGAGTGTGCAGGAGCAGCACGAAGGGAGGCTGTGGATGAAGGACTGAACCAGGTCCCTTCCAACCCTAAAATTCTATGAGAACATGCATTTATAAAACAGGCTTCCATTTCAATGTACCCACGCTCCACAGCTCTTCTAGAGATATTTAAGAAGACACAAAAACGTGGTAAGAGGGTTGCCACTGAGGAAAACTGGGTAGCTGGGGGTCAGGCAATGGAGGGAGATTTATATTTCAACTGTCGGTCCTTTTCTACCTCTATGGGCAGACATCACCTGTTTCTGTAAGGGAAGGGCCAGTGACCTCAGTAGGTCCCTGGCTGAGGTTCCTGGGCATTTCTGAAGCGGGCTTTCCTGGTTTCCTCAGCCCTTTTGTCTCTCCCTTTGAGTCAAGTTATTTGCGCTTGACTCCGAGTTGAGACCTATCTCTGGCAGAGTATGGAAGAAGCAGCTTCTTTGGGGGAGGGGGGGTAATATGCTGGCGCAAAACTGCTGAGGCCTTCATTTGTCATTAGTACTCTTATTAGTATAACATTTCCTTAGTATTCATTATCTCTAGGGCTGAGGGTTCTGAGATGCCTAAAAAGCAGGACCGCATTTTTGAATGTTGGTTCTGGTACTGTGGTGTGTGAAACACTTTGCACAGGGATTTTGTAGGAACTTTGTGGACCCTGCACAACGCTTTGCCCATGTTGGAGGCTGAAAACTGAGTTTGAATAACTTTGTCCAAGGGCTCACTACTCATCTTGGGGGTAGTTCTAATTAGCAACATTAGCCTCAAGATGGCTACTGGCGGCCTGCAGACCAAGTTCAGGACACAGATGTGGTTTTGTGGGGCCCATTCAAAGTTTCTTTTAATTGAATTAGTGGCAACATTTAAAAATCAAGAGATTTCATATTTATAATGTGGACTCTTGTGTTTGTCTTCACAAATGGGAACTGCTGGCCAACTGGGTCTGCTTTCATGCAAGATGGCAATTGGGTGAGTGATAACTGTCCCCTTCCAAAAGAACAGTAAGGCTCCAGCTCACCACCTAACGTGATTCAACAGTTTGTGGGAACAGTGTGGCTGCTGTAGACAATAAAGCTTGCAGCCTCACCCATCCTGGTTCACTTAATAATGAATATTCATCATGAATATTCATACTCATGAATATTCATATTCATGATGAATATTGATTTATCCTTCATATACGTATAGTTCTCATCATTTTTATATGCCTATAGAATGTCAGCCATAATAATGACATAATCATGACTTGTGATAAACATTTGTGTTTTTATATGATTCCACATTGAAATATGCTAATTTGAAGCATGCTCTATCATGGTATAGAATGTGCTGTGTATGACCTCTCGACCAAAACCTATCAACAAATACATATGCACACATGGTTCTCATCTCTACTTTTCCTCTTGCTTTTATCTTCCTTTCTCTAGCTGACTCATTCTTGCTCATCTTGTGTGTGTCCAATTGAACAGGAAATCAGAAATTATAGTTGTTAACTTTGTAGAACTGAGCTGCAAGAAACCTGAGTCATTGTAACGTAGATGGGGGAGAGACCTCAGGGATAGGGCCCTGACATGTTACAGGTAATCGGTTAAGTACCTGGTCCAAATGAATTGTTTCACGAAGAGAGAAAGGAACAATAAATAATACTTTGTTAACAAAATAAAACGCATAAGAGTTTTCAGGGTTGTTGGTGAGTGTGTGAGTGTATGTGTGAGTGTAAGAATATAGGAAACTTTCCATTCTTCCTTAACTTGAATCTCATTGATTGATTGCTCAACACCACCCCAAAACAGGATGTTTTGCTATTTTACTACAAAAATACACGGCAAACATAACTAGACTTCTCAGTGCTAGTGTTTAGGGAAACGACTGTATCATTGGCGATGAGAGAGTTGCTCTGACTGCGGTGTTTTGTTTTGTCACGTGGTAAGATTATTTGGTAAGTGTGTGCTGCCTTGCTGCCTAGTGATCTTGCTTGAGACCTGTGAACTGTAGCCCAGGGGAGAGATGTAGTGTGTGTCTGGCTCCTGCTACCCCCGTGGGAGGATGCTACTTTCTGGTCCCCGGGAAACCAGCCTTGGACGTGTGCAGTGTTCATGCAGGGACTCATGTCGCTTCCAGGCAGAGGCTCACAGGAGCGGGGCCCGCTCCCCCTTGACGCCGTTCCTTCTATCTTGTTGGCTGGTCGTGAGAGTGGCTTCCTCCTCAGCCTGGGCCTGGAGTGAGGATGACAGGGAGCAGACCCTTCAGCGGGACACGTAGGTGACATCTGTGTGATGGACATGAAGAGTGAGAGGAACACCCCTTTGTTAGGCTACTGGGATTTTCAGGGTGTTTCTTGCTCCATCATACCCGCGCATACCTTAACTTATACAAGAAGTTATGCAACCCCTAGCTAAATAGTTAAACGAATATTTTATGAATACTTCATATTGAATTATTTTATGTTTGATATATAAGCATTCACACATTATTTCTGTAACATACACATATCTGTATTACCTATATGTTACGCATGTGCACACACACACACACACACACACACACACACATTTGGAGGGGCAGGGCATGGAGTAACCAAATGAAAAGAGACCTAAAAATTGCCATTAACTAAATGTGACTTTGAGCATGTGACTTTCAGTCTTTCTACCCCAAAAGCCTTGATTTTTGCCCTCTGTAAATTGTCACAGATGCTTGCCACACAGGGTATGTTATGACTTGAAACAATGTAGGGAAAGCACCTAGCACATAGCACTTGACAAAAACTACTGCGTTCGTGTGGGTTTGGGAGCTGTGGTTGTGTGTGACATTGTCACCTGGCCCTGGACGTGGCCTAAGCCTCCGGGTGCAGACAGCGCAGCAAAGCACGATTCTTTGGCTCAGCCCCGAGCCCCAGCAGCCGAGTGCAGCCTGTCAGGTTTATCTTTCAGTTAGTTTTCACGGGCATATGAACAATCTCAACATGGAATCAGTCATTAAACAATTAAAAAAAGAAGACCCCTTCAGCCTCTCCACCGCACCAGTTAGCAACACTGATTTCTCGCTGAGATTTCTAATTATAAGCTTTGAGGGCCTGCGTTGTTTCTTACCTTCAAAAGAACTGCTATTTGTTGTAGCAGCTGCAAGGGAAAAAGAGCGGTGAATGTCCCCAAACGGGCTGGCACCCGCAGTCCTGCCCACGCAGCCTGCAGATGGGCTCGCTAATAGGGGCCGCGCGATGTGTGCCATCCGCTGGCACTTTTGGCGCCCGGCTGGAGGGGCTTGCACAGCCAGCACCTCCGGACAATAGCTCCCCGCCCCCCAGTGCCTGTCGCCAAAGGTCGCTTTGAATCCTGTTCCCTTCACGTGGGTGGGGGTGGGGAGAAGTCCAGGCTGATGTTGGGGTCTCAGAGCAGCTGCGAAGGTGAACGCAAGGTTTTGAGACAGCTCAGTGCTCCGCCGGCCTTGGCAGAAGCTGGAGGCAGGCGCTCAGGGCGGCCCCAGGGCCTCCCGTCCGCAGGCGCTTGGCCCTGGGGGTGCGGGTGCCGGTTAGTGTCTCCCGAGCCTGCGGGGCGGCGGCGCTGCGCCGGGGTCTGCGCCGGGGGGGCCGGGGGTGGTGAAGCGGCTCCTTCTGACTTGGCCAGGGCTCCTCGCAGGACCCTTTACCGTGATTTTGCTAATAAGGATTGGTTGGTTTTTTACTCTTTTTGCCCCCTTCCCCGAACGTTTTTGTGTTTCTTTTTAAACTTTTACTTTTAAATGTGGATTTGAAAGCACCTCTGGTGGGGAGCATTGAGTTCTCCCTGATTTCCGCAGGACACCGGAGCGAGTATTGGTGACTTTTCTGAGATCTGGAGATGTTTCTAAAGTTTGATTTTCACGTCGTTGTTAGATTTCCTGCAGCGTCTCTGCCCAGCACCTGCCCCAGAACAGGGGACCCACTGGTAACCAGCCCTTTGAGCTCGCAGCCCCCTATGTGGTCCTGACCCTCCCCACCCAGGTCCAGGTCACATCCTGAGGTGCGGGTCCCTAAACGTGTCGTTTGTGCAGTAAACTCCTCAGTCGTGGAACTTGCACGCGTAAACTTTGCTGGGCGCTGCTCCCCGTTGTTCAATCCCCGCGTCGTTAGAACAAGTGCCCAGCATGTATTCTGGAGGGTGGAGGGCCGCCCGCGACGTAGATATTCTATTATAGGGTACGTGCTCTCAGAATAGTGGCGGAAGGAGCACACAGATCAATGCATTTTAAATGAGATGGTGCGAGGGGGGCTCACTGGCCATTGGCAGGTGAGTGCATGAGGAGAGGCAGTGAGTGGGCAGGGCCTGGAGGAGGAGGCGTCAGGTACCCACGGGAAGCCTGTTCACACAGGGAACATGGAGGCCAGGGTGGCTTGAATGCAGTGGGGAGTGGGACAGGGGCCGGGGTTGTCGGGCCTTGGTAGGGCCTGGTAATGTTTTCAGCTTTTACTGAAAAACCGATGGGGGAAAATTGGAAGGCTTTGAACAGAGAAGCCAGCCGCATCATCCATTCAGGTCCTAACCAGATCCCTCTTGCTGCTGTGTCCACCGTGGGATGAGGGAAGGTAAGCGGCTATTGCAACCACCCGGGTGAGACGTGGGCCTGGCTAGGCGCTGTGGAGGCGGTGAGATGGGGTCAGATTCTGGGTGTGCTCTGAAGGATTGCAATGAATTGCATCTGGGGTGTGACAGAGAGACCAGAGCCAACGGTGACCCTGAGGTCCTAATCAGCGAGGAGGCGGTGACAGCAGCCCCCACTGGATGAAAGGGGAAATCCCGGGGTCTGGTTTGGACGGGCTGCGCTTGAGGTAGTGGAGACATTCAGATGGAGATAATGCGCGTAGTCGGACTTGAGCTTCAGGAGAGAGGTCCAGGCAAGAGATAAAAGTTGGGGCCATCAGTCTGCACATGCTCCTTAAAGTCTTTGATTGAGATTGAATGAGATCATAAAGGGATTAGAAGGGACTAGAAGTGGCAGGAAGTGACTCAAGTCCTGAGCCCTGGGGCCTCTAATGTGGAGAGACCCAGGAAGTGAGGAGGAAGCAGCACAGCAGCCTGAGCAGTTGTGGCCGGATGGACAGGGGGCAAGTGGAGAACAGGTTCAAACAGGAGGGGTTATTCAGCTACATCCAAGGCTGCGGATCCATCAGTGGTCTCTGGCACTGGAAGGTCTCCCGCGTCCTTGTTGGGGAAAAGTTTCACTGGAGGGGTGGGGCGAGAGTCCAATCGGAGTGGGGTTATAGCTGGAGTTTTCTTAAATGTATAGGAATATTTAGGAAGTACTGACATCTTTAAAATATTTTCTCTATCTTCTTATAGTATTAAATCTTCACATTCAGAAAAATAATGTCTTCCCATTTATGTGTCTTCCCCCCCCCACACACCATATATTTCATAGGCGGACATCAAGTGACAGTTTTGCTGTGTAGGGATCTGAAAGGTGTCTGTGGAGGGAAGGCGGAGGGCCCGCTGCTGCTCCAGTAAGGAACGCAAGTGCCCAGGACTGGGGACAGTGAGGGTCAGAGCAGGTCATCATGTTGACCCAAGAAATGTCCAAACCCATAGAGAATTTTCATAAGAGTTTATGTGAGCTACACTGACGACCTGTGCTGGGGAGTAAGGTCTCAAACGCTCTGGGGAAGAACGTTTTGCAGCTTCTTTTATGCATTTGAGATTAAGGAGGGGACATCCGTGGAGGTGGGAGAAAGCAAGGCGGGATCGGATTACAGGATGGTGAATGAGATTATATGCTCCCTTGAATACCGCCTTTGAAGGGTATTACCTGGGGGATTTCAAAGGTGTGTTAACCTACTGCAGACAGCCAGGAACAATGCACAGGGCGGGCGGACACCTTCCACTAAGGAAGGTACAGGCCTGGGGCAGGACTGCCCACCATGACCTGCCCCGTTAGGAATTTATGATCAGATCACCCTGGGAGATTCCTTTCATACAGCACCCCCCTCCTTTTTTTTTCATCTGCAATCAAAGGAGCTAGGGAGGAGAAAGAAGGGAGAGCTGTGCTCGCTGAGATTTGGCTCGCAAGACAGTGAGTGTTCAAGGGACCTTGGGAAAAAGCACCGGCTTTTCATAGGCTTAAGTGTTAAGTATTTAAGTATTGCGAAATGCGGTGGGCTGTTTGTGTCCACTTATTTTATTAGCTTTATTTAAACTTAGAGTACTTAATCAATCTATATGGCTCAAAATTAAATAGGTTTAAGAACGTGTAGAGTGATAGCTTCTGTCTTACCCCTGTCCTCCCAGACGTCTAGTTTTCCTCCAAGGAGGTGACCGGCCTCATCAGCTCCTTGGGGGTTCTTCTGGGTACACTCTGCATATACACAGTGTGTTCTTCACTTAAATATATATATATATAATACATCATGGAGTTCATTCCATACTCATTCCATACCAGCATTTAACGTTTTTTTATTCTTGCCCTAGCAAATGATTTCCTTTTAGGACATACTATAATTTATTTACCTAGTTCCCTATTGAAGGATACTGAGAGTATTTTCAAACATGAATAACCTTTAGTACTGATTTCACACACTTGCAAGTGGAATTTCTGAGTGTTTCGTTTCTGATTTTTTTTTAAATTTGTTTTTATTCTCTTTTTAAGATCTGCACTTTAAAAATGAAGGTATAATTTGCATGCAATAAAATGCATGCATTAAATGTGGTATAAATTTGCATTCCTCTCTTGTCTAATGGTGTTGAGCTTTTTTCATATACTTATTGACCATTTGTGAAGTATCGGTTTTAAATCTTTTGCCAATTAATAAACATTTATTATCAACTTGACGGAAGTATCACTTACATACAATGACCTGCATCTCCTTAAAGTGTACAGTTTAATGGGTGTTGACATTGGCAGCCCCTGTGAGGTCACAACCACAATCAAGATTGCGGACATTTTCATCAGCCCCCAAAAGCTCCTCACGCTCCTTTGCAGACCCCTTTCCTCAGCCCGTTGTCCCACAAAACTACAGATGGACTTTATGTCACTATAGATGAGTTTGCATTTTCTAGAATTTCAAAAGGAATCTGGATTTCGAAATGCATTATATGGCATGAAGTATTTTGGGTCTGGCTTTTTTCACTCAATTTAATGATTTCAAGGTTCACCCATGATGCTGTGTTTATCAGCAGTTTGTTCTTTTATGCTGCGTTAGACTCCATCGCATGGATATGCCACGTTGTGTTCATCCACTTGCCAGTGGTTGTATATTGGGTTGTTTCTTGGCAATAATCAATATCAATAAAAGTGCTGCAAACTCTCATGTCCAAGTCTTCATGTGGACGTAGGTTTCTATTTCACTTGGGTAAATGCCTGGCAGCAAGGGCGCTGAGTCAGGGCACATGCACCGTTTGCTGCTCCTCATTCACCCTTGGCTGCTGTATTGCGTATCGAGGAATAGTGAGGATGTTAAGGTAAATCAGATGCATAGACAGTTGATTGAAGAGCTATTATAATTCAAAGCACTCAAAAACACTTGTTAGACTTCTCTTTTCTACAGTGAAAGTATATGATCTACTTGGAGCTAGGAAAGGGAAGAAGTTGGTGACACATTTCTCTAAACAGTGTTCTATTTTAGCAAACTCTACAAGCGTAGTTCGGCAATAATTTGTTAGTGCTTCAGATTTTCTAAAATTGCTCTTTGGGTAGGATCTAGGGATGGAATTGGATGTAATAACAGTAACGCATCGGTCAGACAGCTCCGAGGTGTGGTGTGCCCTGCTGTTTCCTTACCATGACTCAACCTTCGTGAAATGAAACAATAGACCATGGCTTCTACTGGAGGTTCTCTGTAGTCAAATAGACTTTACTCATAGATAACATGAGTCACCTAGAATTTACTAGAAGAGTGATTCGCTTGCCTACTACTCCATTTCAACTTTGAAAATGAGGTGTCAATTAGTAGATTTTAAATCGGAAGTCAGTTTCTTTTGGGAGGGAGGGTACCTTTTAAGGCTTCTTGGGAAATCATGGGGAGACTAAATATTAGTGAAATTGCACAATCTATTTCTCATAAAAACACTAAAATGACATAAAAAATGATTAGCTGTAGCTGAAAAGAAAATTACAGAGATGTCAGAATTTCTCACTAAACTAATAAAGATCATAAAAATTACACACAAAATACAACACTAACCACCAACCTACTAGGATCTCTAATGTCTTTGATTAATTAGACATACAAACTAATTTTGCAAAATCTTAAAGTAAACATGTGTGGCATTATGAACTAGGATATTGACCACTCTATCTAAGCTGAAGATGGAAATGGGGCACAATCCACTCATAAAAATCTATAATGGAAAAGGAGAGCAGAAAAAGGGGACCAGAAAATGATGAAAACAGAATCTTAAACGTCAGTGAAGACCAAAACAAAACCCATCAAACTAAATGGACATAAAACATGAATATATACTGTAAAGAGGAACAAAAGAAATAGAAATCAAAAATATTTTTCTTTTTAGGGATCAAAGAAGAGAACTTTAACAATCACTTTTCAGTGACTATATGGATATATAAAATGCTGGCAAGTTTGGAGTGAAACTGGACCTTTATTCTTTTCTGGTAGCATTTTAAAAATTTCAGAACAATATGGAAACTACTTCAGGATTTTTAAAGTTGCTTACACCCTTGGAGCTGCTGAGTTTACTCTTAAAGCAACAATTCATTATGTAGCAGTCATCCAAATGCCAAGATGTGGAACAAACAAACACACCGAAGCTTCCGGTCCCGTGCCTTCTAACCTCTGAGGGAGAAACATCCATCTGCCCCTTAGAAAGCTGGTTATTATGCAGAGAAAGGACCCAGCTCTCGGTCCAGCGGGACATGGGGACACACCTGGGCCTTCCTGGTGTGGGATGAGGCCCAGTCTCCCAGGTTTCCCCGCTGCTGAAATCTTGTTCCCAACTCCTTTCTGACTAGGGACCAGAGGTGCTTGAACAGTTCTGCAGAAACTATAAAAGTGACCCAGGGAAAGAAACTGTAGTATTTATGAGGTTCAGGGACTACGGCTCCAGACATCAGCTCTCAAGGCTGCTTGCTGCCTTTGCTGGCTGCCCTCCCAGCTGGAGGTCTGACTATTCTCAACTGCGGGGCAGAGGAGAGAAGGGGGAGGGGAGCCACTTACAAAGTCCTGAAGCCTCTCAGGCCACCATCAACCAACCAGAGGCCGTCTCACGGATGTGCCTGCTGCTCTGGCTGTAACAGATGTCTTCAGTTAAAGGTAAGAAATCAATGCTCAGCTACCAGACTTGTAATGGAATTGCTACTTTTGTTTTTGGTACACCCACAAAGTGGATGAACGAACCTGGAAGGGAGAAAATGAGACAGCTAGTTAACTAAATCAAGAATATCCAGGAAAGGAATGGTAAAGGGACCCTCTACCCAGAGAC